AGGGCGATGGCAAAACTCGATGGTGCGATTATCGAGCTTTCGTATTCTGATTGAACGAGCGATGTATCATCCGGCTGTTACGATTCCTTTATCGCGCTTCAACGGTGCTGAGGTGAAAATAGAGGAAATGGAAGGTGATGATGGATCGCGAACGTGGATTGCAGCTTGCCATGTCGGCGCGATTATGAAATACAAATAGCTAATCGCGAGCACAATAAAATGAAGAGAAATAGAATGAAATAACATTTTTATTTTAACAATATTTGATTGTATATATTTTAGGGTTGCACGAGATATTAATACTAATCTTGATATTGTCTTATCTTCTCTGGAAATTCGAGACAAGTTTAAGATAATATTTTTAATTAATTATTAAGACAATATCGAGATTAAAATTGTCAAGATTATTGGTCTTGTCAAGATTATTGATTTAAAAAAAGCTAAAATATATATATTTGTGTGCGTGTAAATTTGATGAGAAAAAATCAGTATATTATATAAATTTAAAAAATGTTATTTAATAAATAAAAACATTTAATATATTAACAAATTTAGAGATAATTAATACAATAAACAAAATATAAAATATTCCACGATTATTTAACTATATATACATATATATACAATATATATATAATGTTTTGGGAAGTACACGAATGACATAAATAGAGATAATTATCTTAAATTATTATACAAGTATTATAAAGATTATGTTAAATATTATTTTAAACAATTGTGTTCAATATTAAATAAAAATTTTTAATAAAATCGAGATAAGATAATACAAGACGAGATATTTACTAAGATTCACTCAAGACCAATACAAGATTTAAGTTTCTGAAAATATTAAATATCAATACAATATTTTCACAAGTATTGTCTTGTCGTGACTCTTGTGCAAACCTAATATATTCGATAAATTCTATAGTAAAATTCTATTGAAGTGAAGCCCGTTCGAAATTGATTCAAGAACGGCACTTCGCTCTTTATTAGCCGCTTCCGCCAGAATCCTTTAATTTTCAAAATTGATCAAGTCAATAACTACGTTTCTGTTTGAACTGTCAGGAGGGAAAAGCCGCTGCCAAATTGATCAAAGAATGCGCCCGAGGTTTGACGAAAATTTAATCGGAACGCCATGTATACCGTTGCAAGCGTGCCACGCTTTCACGCAGGCTTTGGTAAATCCGATCTTACGCGTGTATTCTGGGAATCGCGCGATTCGACTAACAGCACGCGGTCTCGCATAACTGCGGCGGATATGCGAAAGAGGGAGGCAAGAAAGACCGTATTTTCAGTCGCGGAGGCTCGTGATATTGGAAATATTCTCTTTTTTATTCGGCGGTTGTGTGAGTATTCCCGTAATCGTATCGCAAGAAAAAGTTGTACCTCTTGTGTCGTATTGAAGGATAAACATCGTGTATCACAGTTTTTCTTGTAGCCACACGTTCTTTTAAGGAAATTTACACTCGTAAAGTTTGAATTTTTAATATTAAATGCTGTAGACAATTTTTAATTTGATTATTGTAATAGAATTTAAATTATTTCACATTAAAATTTTAAGAGTTTGTATTGTCTTTTATTCGATAATAATTTCTGAAGAGCTTTGTCAAACTTCCCTTGTCAAATGTCCCTCCTTTCATATTATATTATATTAAATAATTTATATAATATATTATATATTATATAAATTATATTAAGTCGGTTTTCCTCATTTTTGGCGTGCAATATCTGTCATAAAAACGAGAAGCGACGAAATATCAAAATATTCTGTAAATTATAACTCGCGATGGAACGTAACGTCTGATAGCGTTCTGTATATATTCGCATAAAGGCCCGAGGTATACAATTGTCGGGCGCGAATGTACGCACCCGGGGGCTCTAACAAATAGTTCCGGTTATCGGTGCTTTCGCGCGACTTAGGCTCTCCCTTTCTGCCTTTCGCACGCTCCGTACCGTTACACCGTTAATAAACTCGCTTAGAAGGAGAGTACGTGCGAAGGCCAAGTTTAGATGTCCAGATTCGTCGGGGAAGATAGATACCAGAAGGAGCTTGCTGCGCGCGTAAACTATGCCAAGTTAACTTCCTCAGATACTATACATATATATATATATATATACTATATACATCGAATACTCTATTCATACTGGAATAGTGCCATTTTATATGTCGAATGAAAATTGTTTCTGTGACGTAATAGCCGACGATTGCATCTCCCCTGTATGTATAAATTGTTATTAAAATACATTCTTTCGTAAGAAGATCATGCACACATTAAGATAAACTTGAATGCATTTTTTTTTTTATGACACATATCTATATAATAGAAATGCTATCTTTTTCTTATATATTTATTTTTGTAAACTATATATCTTTCGCTTCGGTTGGCGACGCAACGTTAAAAATTAAATTAATTAATAAATAAAAATTAATTAATTAAACGCCGACATTTATTGCGGATTTAGCGTATAGCTGAACCTTCCTCGGATCGTTTCTACGAACAACGACGAAAAGTCTTTCGGTTGATGATGCAAAATCATCGAGAGACAGCGGGCGTTCCGTTTCTTGTTTTTCTTAGCCTTCGGGTCCGGAGGCGGGGGCGAGCGCGGTGAATTCATGATTAATGCTCGTGACGCGGGATTTGATATAAAACCCGACACCAGTTCGGACCGCCGTCAGTTTTACCAACTAACGAGGGAGCGTAACGCATACCTTATCCATACTTCGCCATAAATCTCACCGCGCGTTTTGATTTACGTACCTTTAGGAGCAACGACGTTCGCAAAGAATCTCGCGCAATATTTCGCCGAACTGCTTGCTCGCATATCCGAAAATAAATATTACGTAAATTTAAAAGGATTTATAAGATATTAATATGTATAAACTTTTAATTAGCTATTGCGTCGCGCAGCCGAGAGCTCGCGCGTGTTATAAGTAGAATAACTAGTTATGAACGAGGATAGATGTGGGAGAGCAAAAAAAGCGCGAAATTTCCATAAAAGAGGAGTGTATCGTAACCCAAACACAACATCGGCCAACAGCCCGCATATTCCAGACAACAGGGGCTAGATTTTATAAGTGATTCATGGCCGAGTCCCTCTTGCCTCTTCCCTCATATTACCTTTGCTTTATGCAATACATTAATGGATATTCGTTTCATCAAATAAGTTTTATGTATAATAGTTCCACGAATCGCTTGCTGATCGGATCAAGTTCAATATATCATATCAAGCACGATCCTTGTAGTATTACATAATCCTCTAAAAAAGACAACAGATAAAATATGAGCGATGTGAGAGGCGAAATTTTCGTATGTATTCGCCAATCTAATCAAGTAATTATTTTTGAAATGAGATATGACATTTATATGATATTTGCAAAAGCGGAAATATTCGCTGACGATTATATGATCGATGCGCGGATTTATCATCGGTGCAATCGTTGCAATACGGTTTATAGCGATGCATTCTCTACAACATTATTGAATGCGAACGAGCGGAATATCGAAGATATATACATACGTATCTCATTGACGGATTAACGATACTCCGAAGCGAACTCGGCTGTAACGAGGCGAAAATCGAAAGCGCATACGTTTCTATTGAGAGGAGCATCATCGGGAGAGCCTCGCGCTGCAGCTGCAGCGGATGCATCTCGCAGATGCATTTCGTACGCGCGCGGACGCCAATCGGCCGTATCGGGGATACGAGCCACACACGTAGCGGTTTCTCCTTCCTTTATTTCAACGTGGTTAAATGCACACCGCGCGTTCGCGATGGCGTCTTATAAATAGCGACGCCCGCGTCGAGGCGCTAGTACAGTTAACAAACGGTAAAACTAACACCGCCTCCTACAATAACATTTCGCTCCGGTCACGTGTTTTCCGCGGGTCGACTATTATAAGATCCATGACTGCTTCGATTCCCTCTGTCTTTCTCTCTTATTTTTATTTATTATATAATTTATTTATTTATTATATGTCTCAATCCAAATATATGAAATAAAATGTTTTACTTTTATATTTTTCAACCTTTATTGATCTGTAATTATAATTATCAATTAATGTATATAAAAACTGTGAAATTATAGAGAAATAACGACTAAACATGTTGCGCCACGTCTGTACACTTCTGAGACAATAGAAGTAATTTGACTGTGGAAACGGCAGTGATAAAAGAGTATTATTTGCTTACTGTTGCAGGCGGCAGTTATGCGAACTATGCAGCCATGAATCAAATATCCTTGAACACGAGACCCGCGCGACGGACGAAGCTGTTTCCCGCACGAACGATGACGTCCCTCTTGACCTTGCTTCTACTCGCGACGACGTTGTCGAATGTACAATCGGAATCGGCGATGAATCCGATGGGTAGCATCATCGGATCGGGATCAGCAATCTCGTCGTCATCGTCCTCGTCCTCGTCCAGCGGTTCGTCGTCCTCATCATCATCAGTGAACGGCGTGGCTTCCGATGGCTCCGGTTCCGGTGGTAGCGGGGTAAGCGGAAGCAGCGGTAACGGCGCAATTGGTAGCGTCAATGGGGGCGGTATAAATAGCGGCGGCGGTGGGCACTCCAGCATAGGGGGTGGCGTTAACAACGGGAATGGTAGATGCGAGGAGATCACGATCCCCATGTGCCGCGGTATCGGTTACAATCACACCGCTATGCCCAATGAACTGAATCACGACACGCAGGAGGAGGCCGGTTTGGAGGTGCACCAGTTCTGGCCGCTCGTGGAGATCAAGTGTTCACCAGATCTCAAGTTCTTCCTGTGCTCCATGTATACACCGATCTGCCTGCCGGAGTATACGAAGCCGCTGCCAGCCTGTCGTAGCGTCTGCGAGCGAGCTCGCGCGGGATGCGCGCCTCTTATGCAACAATACGGCTTCTCGTGGCCGGAGCGAATGGCGTGCGAGCGTTTGCCGAATCACGGCGAGGATCCGGAGAATCTATGCATGGAACAGGACAATCGCACCAGCAGCAGCACCGGCCCTGGTGGTGGTAATGGAGGTATGGTGAGCGGCGGTGCCCCGGCACCGCCTGGCCCGCCAGCGCGACCCACGCGACCCAGCAAGACCACGCAACCGGCTCGCTGCAAGCCGGGGAAGAATCAAAAAAACTGCCAACATCCCCCAGGGGAGAGGACGAGGGATTGCGCGTGCAGATGCAGGGCGCCCCTCGTGCCTCTGGGGGCGGGTGGCGCGGTGATACCGGGACCGATAAGCGCCGTCAGCGGCACCGTCATCGGGAGCACCGGGGTCAACGCGGGAGCTGGTCTGGCCGGCATGGCCGTAAGTGGAATAATTCCGGCACCGGCGCCGCCGTCGATGGGGGGCATCGGTCGAAGCATCATCCAGGAGATCGCGGGGGTGCCGGATTGTGCCCTGCCGTGCCGCGGCGCGTTCCTCACCAACGAGGAGCGCGAGTTCGCGGCAATATGGCTGGCGTTGTGGAGCGGCCTGTGCGCCGCCAGCACTCTCGTGACCGTCACCACGTTTCTGATCGACACCCAGCGCTTCAAATATCCTGAGAGGCCGATCGTTTTTCTGTCGGCCTGCTACTTCGTCGTGTCCGTGGGTTATCTATCGCGCAGCATTTTCGGCCACGAAGAAATCGCTTGCGACGGTCCGGCGCTGAAATCGGGTGCCCAGGGTCCGGGCGCGTGCGTCACCGTTTTCCTCATGATCTACTTCTTCGGCATGGCTTCCTCTGTGTGGTGGGTAATCTTGGCGTTTACGTGGTTCCTCGCCGCCGGCTTGAAATGGGGCAACGAGGCCATAGCTTCGTACTCGCAATACTTTCATCTGGTGGCATGGCTGGCGCCGACGGTACAAACAGTCTGGGCGTATGTAGCGGGTGGCGTTGCCGGTGACCCGGTGGCCGGGGTCTGCACAGTCGCCCCCGAGGGAGTGCGCAACTTTATCCTAGCGCCTCTGTTCGTCTACCTTCTGCTGGGCACGAGCTTCCTACTGGCTGGTTTTGTGAGTCTCTTTCGAATTCGATCGGTGATAAAGCGCCAGCCTGGCGCCAAGGCGGACAAACTCGAGAAACTGATGATACGAATCGGCGTGTTTAGCGTTCTCTACACGCTGCCAGCCGGCGCGGTGTTAGCCTGTCACATCTACGAATCATCTCTACGGGACGAATGGCTCAGTTCGTTGGCATGTCCCTGCCGACCGCGAGCGAGACCGCTCTATTCCATCCTGATGCTGAAGTATTTCATGGCTCTCGCGGTCGGTAGCACCTCGGGCGTCTGGATCTGGAGTGGCAAGACGGTCGATTCTTGGAAACGGCTATGGAGGCGTTTGTTCGGCGGAAATCGCGGTCCGGGCGGTCATATGGGCGCGGGCGGTGGCATGGTGGCTGGTGTGACCGGTATGAGCAGTGGCATCGGCAGTGTCGGCATCAAGGGCGTCATGGGCCGCAGCATCGCTGTGCCGTATCAAACGGCGCCTGGTCCGGGCAGCGCTCTGTTACCACCGGGAAGCGTCGCCAGTGCGTCTCAGCATCATCTACACCATCATGTACTCAAGCAACCGCCGCTCTCACACGTATGACGTCACCAGTCGGCGGGGGGCGATATGAACACCGCTGGATGCGAGCAGCAGTCACAGCAGCAGGAGAGACCTTCCGCCCTCAGCAACTACGGGCCCATCTAGCCCTTCGCCTCGGCCTCGCGAAGACACAACGCGACGCCGCACACAGCGCCGCATACGGCGCCGCACACGCCCCATTCGGCGGCGACCATCTACTCCAGGAGGTCACTCGCGTCCACGACGGGGCCGCTGACGCCGGCGCACGGGATCGCGCCCTCCTACACGCAGGCCACCGAGGTGTGAAGGAAGGAGCACGTGTGGAGGCGCACGTGGAGTTTGAACGACGAGCGGCCGCGGTGCTTCTCGATTACCGATATACGTATTTAGCCTGTACATGTCTTCTCCCGCGGGAATCTCGAGAAATCCTTTCTTCAGCTCGGACCATCGACGATCTCTTCAGTGTCTTCATCTTATTGATCGATTCGAGGAAATTATACTTTGCGAATAGTTTGCGAAAGAATGAATTTCTTTCTCTCTCTCTCTCTCTCTCTCTCTCTCTTCCGTCTCTGGCTCTCTCTCCTTCTTCCCGTCGTTTCTCACTCTTTGCCCTTTAGCCTTTGCGTTCCCTCCGTATCCTTTTCTCCGATCTCCCCGAGTCCCCGTTTCGACGGAGCTATATTTTTCGAATGAATTTGTATTTAACTCATTAGTTGCGCGAATAAAATGATAACCAAAGATAATAACATTTATTGGTATCATCATCTTTAACTCAAGAACATGAAAAAGCGTCTTATCTTTTTAATTAAAATGTTTGATGAATTTTTTATTTTAATGATAATTCAGTGGCTACTTATCACAATTTGAAAGATTCTTTATTCTCTGATCAATATTATAATTATATGAATGTATTATTAATAAAACTTTATTCGAATACGATATTTATCGATCATGCAAATTTTTATTTGAATAGTGTTATTTCTTATTCACTGATCAAAGTTTTATTTCTCTTTCTCTCTTTTATTTATTATTATATTTGTTATTGGTGAATTTATTCGGGTCCTCGAGTCCCGGCACCCCACGATTCTGCGTACCGGTTTTGGGTCCGGGTATCTAGCCAACGATCGAAGCACCGGACGTTGATTTATGTACGAGACATCCGAACGCTACGCCCTTGCTCGTTAAGGTCGAGCGAGCTGCCAGACGCATCCCGCGCCGGCCGGCTATTTAGGCATCGATCGCCGGCTCGGAACTTTTACGAAACAGCGCGGATACACGCAGCACGACTCGCTGCAGAGTTAGCCGACCGGGTTACCGAAACGGCCGCGTTGTGCTTTGATAGTCCGAATTGCAAACGAAGCGGCGGCGAACGGGGTGCATTCGACCGGCCGTCTGTTCTCGCCCGCCTTCTCTCTCTCTCTCTCTCTCTCTCGCTCGAGATTAAATTCGAGTCTATTCGGTATTCCCAGTTCCTCTGTGAAAGGCGATGAATACTCTATCTCCAGTAAATATTCTCTCATTCTACGAATGGATTACGTGCCAGTCGGAGAAACGAGTTATTAGCGAGAATTTACTCTCTTGGTGCTGGGAAAAAGTTATTGAAACGATTTAGATTATGAAATATGTATTGTATGTAAGAGTCAAACTCTTTAAAAATTTATCTATTTATGTATATTAAAATAGAATATATATTTATATATTTTATT